GTTCTTTTATTTGAATATTTCAGAATTCAGCGTCACTGGATCGATGTGGCCTGGGCTCCCCGGGTGACCCTACGGATCGGTTATGTGTACCATCCATCACCATGGGCTTCAGAGTATTGGCGATTTTTGCCGGCACATATGCGTCTACCTATACCAGTTGCTAAGGCTAGTGCGCGGTTAAGTGGTCGCATTGTTCACGGTATGCGGCAGCCGCGTCGCCGTGGACGTAAACACGGTCACAAAGCACCTGCGGTTACTCCACTAATCCGAACGCATTCGGATTCGTCCAGCCAGGTGGGTGACCTAGTTGCCGACAAATTGATTATTAAATAGCAAGCAGAAAAAAGCATTCAGGTTGTCATGTTCATTCTTCAATTTGATGTTCGAACCACATATCTCATTTACACTGACTTCCTCCCTGTGCGTGGTATAACAGATGGATATAATGAATTCGGTATATCACTCAGCGTTCCCCGAGTAAGGTCGGTCAACGAGAAGCTATCAGGTTGTGAAACCAAAATCTCCTTTTCATTTAGCCACATTCCTTGTCATCACACTATCAGATTGGTCAACAAGCTACCTGACCGGATTGTTCCTATCAAGCACCGGCTTCTCGCACAAGAAGTAGTACCTCTTATAAGCGAATCGCCCACCTCTTCACACGTATGGACCCAAGTTGCCCACATCGCTATCAGCTACCGCTGACAAGAATCCGCCGAAGACTGCCACTCTTACTGGTCAACACCCTTAGTGATAAATTACGCTTTATTACGAGCCAGATTCTACCCACACCTAGTAAAGAATCACAAAAGAGCCACCGGTAACGAATGCCCACAAAACAACGTCAACAACAGTTGGCTTTCGAAGCGGAGCTCTGCGATCGCCTCTCAGTTCAGCCACCAACCGAAGGATTCAAGGAACATTGGAAGCAAATCAAGGAGACTATGAAAATATCAATAAAAAACGGCGGACTCTGGCACAGGCTCAAAGCACAAGCAATGGACCTCGTCTACCTCAGCTGCCCAGCTGGACGCCCGCAAAACCTTTCCTCCTGATGCCACATATGACACAGCGCGCAAATCCCTCAAAAACCGGCTCATCGAGAGTCTTCGGAATGATCGCGAGAAGTGGTGTATAGGAAAGTGTAGAGAGATGAAAAAGACTGCGACTGTCCTTAACAGTCGCATTCTTTTCCGTCCTATTAGTTTCAAGGGCCCTAGGATAGTAGGCGAAAGTGAGGTAATTAAGGGATCTGACGGCACACCGATCCATATTCAGCAACGCCGTTTTGAACGATGAACAGAACATTGTTGGTCGCTTTTCAGCTGGCGCCGGCTGACACAAGACCTCCCTTTACCTGCTTCAGCTGGGCAAATACTGTCAGTTGATATCAGTTCTCCACCTGAAATGGAGGTTACCCGGGATGTAAACTATCTCAAAAGGCATAAGGCTTCCGGCCCGGAAGGGCTGTTTTCATCGGTTTTTAATGATGAAGGTTCAGCCTTGGTTTGAGAATTAACTAACCATTTTAACTCAGTGTGGAAGAGTGAACAGGTTCCAACTGAATGGTGATCATCGGTGATCATACAAGAAATGCAACAGATCCTCTTGTGAAAGCATCAGAGAAATTAGTTTAATCAACATCATCTCCAAACTGCTCGCTGGTATTGTACTCCGTCGATTGCTTACCGCACGTGAACAGTGCAGGCGTGAGATTCAGGCTGGTTTTGGGCCTGGTTGAGGTTGTATAAACCACAGATTCACTCTTCACCAGATTCTGGAACACAGGCCGTCTTTTCGTAGATTCACCATTTCTATCTTCTTCGATCTGAAGGCGGCTTTCGACTCAGAGGGCCGCTCAAAACAATGGTACTGTCTTTCCCTGAAGGGTTTGCTCGATAAGCTGATTTCATTTATTTTGTTCCTTTACACTAATAGCCAAAGCCGAGTCCGACACTTTTGCCCGAGTTCGTTACAGAAAGTGGTGTTCGACAGGGGTGCTCCCTCTTTCCGTTTCTATTTAACTTCGTAATGTATTTAATTCTTGAAACAGCCCCACCCTCGTGCTAGGATAGCGGTATGGATTTATCCCCAGGTGGCACACTGTCTGTTCCAGAGTATGCAGACGAGAATGTACTAATAAGTGAGGATCCAGGTAAGTTGCAAGTTTTTCTCAATGGTGCTAATGTAGCCATGTTCAGTATGCGTTTTGCACCTTCAAAGTTTAAAATGTTAGTGTACGATCTGGATGACCCATCCCCCAACCTCACCAGGACTGGGGAAGCGATGTTATGATTCCGGGTGCGGGGATGATGATAGTTATTTATTACGAATAATGGTTTCCGTAAATCGGCATGGATACAACAGAATGTCGAATTTTCGACAGGTTTTCAACATTCCCACAAAGACACCGGATTACTAGTGGAACGGTTGGACGGTGGATACGCACTTCCTATAGTTATCATTTTGAATAGACGAACTCACTCCAAGAGGTCTTGTTCGTTTTTGACTGTTGAAAGAAATAGCCAATCACGTTCTTTTACGCAATCTAAACATACCACTCATAAAGGTAGTAGAGGAAGCAGACAAACTTTGTTATTTGGGCAGTTATATCTCACCTGTCTGACATATCACAGATGAAGTGTCGGCACGTATACAGAATGCCCGATTGGCATTTGCCAACCCGAGACGTCAGTGGCGCCGCCGCGACATCCGGCTGTCCGTGAAGTGTCAAGTGTATGCTTCAGCAGTTCAGTCAGTTCTACTCTACGGTGCAGAGGCCTGGCCATTGCGGTAACGGGAAACAAATAAATTGTCAGTGTTCAAACACCACTGTCTACGTCGCATTGGACGAGTCTGGTGGGGAACCTGGACAAGCAATACTGGGGTTAGATGAAGAGTTTTAGGTAATCGCGGTCATTCACTGGAACAAGTAGTTGACCTCCATAGACTGGGCTGGTTCGGGAAAGGGGTTACTCATGTCATCAGATAGGTCACCAGGGCGCGCGATGTTTGCCGAGGTAGGTAATGAATGGGAAAAAGTCAATTGCGGTTAAACCAAGACTTGGCATAAAAGTAAGAAAGCCCTAACTAGGACTTGGGTCACATTGGTCTCTTTGGGCTTCCTGGATAGGTACCCCGATATCATAGGAGCTGGTGGTTAGAGACGCTGAGTAATATGGCTGTGTCGCAAACAGTGGCGCTCGTGCATCTACTCATTATTTTTGCAACTTCAGTCTGCATAGATTCAATATCTTCCCTTTGAATTGGCTTTCAACAATCCAATTTTCACTTTCATTCTTTTCTTTTATCCGAATGGGCGGCCAAAAGAAAGCAACCAAAACCGGCTCACGGAAGTGCATGGTTTATGGTTGTAAAAACTGAAACTGAACCGAATGGGTTCTTTTATTGCCCGCCAAGTTTTGGGTTATAACAAGACGCCGTCCGGATGACTGCACCAAAATCTCAATCACAGGTTCTAAGAAGTAACTATCATCATGTTTAGGGAATAACTGCAAAACCTAAATGGTACGAAATTCCAGTTTGTTTCTAGGTTGAGTAGAAGTTAAACTCCATATACATTTGCCCTACATTTTAACATAACGTCGAACGTAATGTCTTTTCACACCATTCTTGTTTTATCGTATTGATGATTTCGTTCGATTATCTGTGAGAAACCTATCTTTGGTTTACTCTCCACGAATAGTCTCATCTGTTCAACGTACTTCGTAAACTGGCAGATCCTCTCACCTCTGAGCAGTTCTCTAAAATGGATATCTGAACCGGCTTTCAACACAGTTTGGCTGATTAAGAAAAAAACTAGCAATTTTTCGCTTCGGTCCATCATTTAAGTTTCAGCAAGATTGCTTTGTTGTACCAAAGCCCGATGCAACTTTCATTTCACCCGATGAAGCCTTGCTGACGAAGAGATTCTGATCAACATTAGCTCACCCAGGGATTTCTACATCTGCGTCCTATACTCGCCTTTAAATCGTATCACGGAAGTTTATTTGCGTATGAAAGCCGACAAGGACAGCGGTTTCACCCTTGCCAGAACTCATCACCTCAGAAATATAACGGGTAATGTCTAATGATGTGATTCGAATACAAAATTCACCGAGCCAATGAAAGAAATAGGTTCCTGTTTCACCGATTTTCAGCGTTTGATGTATATTTTAGCGAGTCTTTCGTTTGTGCAACTGAACCCGTTTAGTGAAAAATGTCTAAATGCCAGGCAAGGTGCCAGTTTTTTTAGAACGCCTATTAAGTTTACAGCGAGGCCAGGACGTATCAGGCTTCCACCTTTGAAATGGATTTGTTGTGATCACAGTAGAAAGAAACATTAGTTTGCTTACTTTTTATCTTCGTTTTGTCTTTGCCTTACTTGAACTGTTCTTCGTTCGTCATGATTCTGCCACTGCAGTCCGAACTGGAAGAGCTAGCTCTGCGCGGCTTGAGACCGGAGGGCAGCCAGACCCAAGGACCAACGGAAGATGATCTAATGAAATCGGATTTTGACGGGTCATACTTCGCTCCGGATACGGTTGATTTTCACATGCATGTTGGACACGCCCAGCTTTGCTTTTACGGCACTCTTCTGCGTCATTTCATTCACCTGAAGGTTAGTCACTGTGACTTGTGGTCTTCCCTGGACAGCATGTGAAATTATCACTCGGCGAATCTGCTTGCTCCCTCTGAGAGCTGACGCCAACATTATTTTTGCACGGTGAAATAAATCCAATTGTATGGAGTAATTCAAAATCCACTGCTCTTGATCGTCCATTATCGTTTAGACACAACAGTCGGGTATGTTCTCACCAATCACGAACCAGTCACCCATCATGTATCGATATTTGCAGTTCTACTGAAATTCTATACTGTCAGTTACTCTTTTTTAATTTACGCGCTGGTAAGCCCTAACTTTCGTTCTTAGTTTAGGTGAATAAGTTAATCGATTGCTCGGTGAATATGTGGTTGCTTTAGTCGACTTACACAGCATCTAAAGTTTCTCCATATATTGGTCATTCTAGCTTACAAACTCACAGAGCTGTCTTTAGTTATTCTGTGGTATTGTGTTCGTCAATCAACTCACACATTTACTGCTTCCTTTTGGTTTTTATACTTGTATCAACGCTGCGTCTTACAGTTTGTGTCACCGAAAAAGCATATCCTATGTCAAATGTGCAACCCCTCAAAAGGCTAAACTTCGTATTTTTCAAATGTTTTCTTATCTGGTACTGCTTAAAATGCTTTTAGAGGAAACCCAGTTTTTGCAGTTTCTCGCGAAAGCTTGTGCCTTGGGATCATAAACTTTGTTATTTGCTTATGTATTGCCTCACTAAAACACAGGGCTCGTATACAGGTTTTACGTCATTTGTAATGATTGTCTTTTACGTAATAAGCTTCTGTAAACATTAATAACACTGCCATGCTAGATTCTCTGCTGTTCTTTTCTTTCCTCTCTCTGTTTTGTAACACACTATTATTTACAAATGCTCAGTCGAACCATTGTTCCGTAAATCTTCGTTTATTAGGAGAACTACTTTGGCTGTTATCAGCGGCCAGTGGATTTTGCCGGTCCACCGATGAGTGCCGAGGAATACCAAAGTCATTTAGATGGATTCTCACTGCTCCCTCTAACGGACGCGCCAAATGCCAGTGTGAAACGATCAAAGGTGAAACGAATCATCGATCCACGCGAATGTCGACCGATTCTGGTGCGCATTTCTCTCGAATTCCACAATATCCAGGCCCATTTACCTACGGTTAGTTTCTTATTTATTTATATGACTTTAATGTATGCACATTTTAGATGAATAGTTAGTGTCATCCATCGCTGGTTTTGCATTGTTAATCTTTCAACCCATACACCCTTCAGGTTACCCGTACGATCGAGCGCTTCATTTCAGTTGCACAGTTCGGGTTGATGTTTTCTGGGAGTTCAGGAACTGGATAATATCAAACGCAGGGAGAGCATCTGCAATGGAAAATATTTAGAGAGTAAAACTCTGAAGAGCGCTTTTCAGTATGAGCAGCTTAAAAAATAATGAAGCAAATTCTAATGTGGTTCGATCCTAAATGCATAGATCTGACTCTAATAAGTCTCCCTTTTCAAAATGTGCGGAAGACTTTTGTCAAATCCATTCGTTTTTATATCTGAAGTGACCAGGGTTTCCGGTTAACAGATCGTTTGTGCTCAAGTTTCTGTTATGCCTGAAGCTTTTTTCCCTGCCGCATCATCTGAGGCGTTTATTTTTCAGTTCGATATTTACTAAATCCACTTGTGCCAGTTTTATGAATCACACCTTTGAATGTGTCCTCCGTTTAGCGCCATTTGCAACGTTCGCTAATCGCCAATTGACCGTGGCAAGGTCACTGACCCAACATTAATCTTGGTTTTCGCCAATCCTAATCCATCCTACCGTTCGTATAGCGCAATCGAAGCTCATCTACAACTGCTGCACGCCCTGTCGCAGAAGTGTTAGGACTGTGTGGTCTAGTGGTCATCGGGAACTATGTCAAGTCGGGGACGGCCCACTCACCTCGTCTAAATTACTTTTATCCATTGTGTGCTAAACTCTCAATCGAGCAGACTTGCCCGTGCTTCTGATCTGATTGTTTAACAATTCCGGTTTTCAGATGCCTGAGTAGTAGGGTGGAAGAGCAGGAAGAAATATCATCCTTAGCGGAGAGAATAGCAAATGAATCAATCGCCATATTAGAGGCAAAAATAATAACTCCTAAAGATCAGTTAAAAGAGTAGTGTTCTAGAAAGATCCCTACTCCAGTGCATGCGATACACTCAGTACAACTATGATAACAACAAAGGCGACGCAGTCATAATTTCAGACTGCGAACAAAGTTGAGTCAAATATATCAACCGCTCAAATGACGTTGCCGTTATTAGCACTGCAGTGGCAGTTATCCGCACTAATGTGCCGGAAGCCGCAGTTAATCCACTGAGTAGACCAACTTTGGGATACCTTACAAAATTGTTCTGCCGAAGATTCGTTTCGATTGCCGGTGTTACGCTTTCGGCGACATAGTATGTGCTATTGGGATTTTTCTTCCATCCCGGGTTGTCTGCGCTCTATTGATTATTTTAAGTCGGTGTGGGCTGCCGCGAATTATGTCGTGCCCTAGAGTCTCAGGCACCCGTTTGGAAAACCCTCCACATCTGTCTAGTTCTTCTTCTCAGCCTCGAATAATCCCAGATGCCTCCTGTTTACACTACCCATCGAATATCACTCAGTGTTTTACTAACAAGTTCGAATAATCAAATTTACAAGATTTTTGGAGCCGAAAATCCCTTTTCGCTTAGCAGCTTTCAATGTCCGCATACTATCAGATCGGTCAAT